GGCTGCAGCACTAACCTAAAATTGCTGCATCCGCCCGAACTGCCCTCACTGCGTCCGTCTATACACTCACCGCATTGACCAATTAGGACACGTACGCATTCACGAAAAGCCCTGGTAGATAACCGTCGGCTACACCACACCAGCACACTTTCTCCTGTAGCGGCCAGCCATCATGATCGGTCTGGCTTCATTGTTTAAGACCTCGCTGCATCAAGGTCATCCAGCCCTTTGGCAGAGAGCCGTTTCAGACGCGATGACCTGAAGTCACACGACCAACGGCTCGGGCATACAAGCGTCCACACAGCCGCAGCTGCCTATGCGGCCACTTGAACGCAGCCCACCCCCTACAAGCACAGCCTAAGCTACTGGGACACCAGCCCTCGACAAATGCAAAACACCCGATGGGGAGCACTTGAGCTTGACCCACGAGCCTATAAAAGCTGCTGCCACCACTATCTCAAGGACTCTCAGGTCTGGCTGGACGAAGTCGACACCAGCCCTGGCTTCGCCAGTGGCCACTGCCACCTGAGAGGACAACTCCGGGTTCCGTGTACATTCAGTCAGTATATTTTGTGTAAACGACAGAAGCTCTAAAAACTCCATTTAGGGGGTTCAGAGGTAAGGGAAAATAATAAATTGCAAAACTTTTGCTAGCAGTTTTAGTAAGGAGAATTCATAAATCTACTTATGTAACATAAAGGCGAAAGGGGCATGGTATTCGCGAAATAATTGCGAAAAGCTTTGTTTACCGCATTTGGACCGTGAAAATTTCCATATGGGCTAAGTTTGACGCACAAAAACGATCTGTTGAACTCCTGTTAGTAGCATATTTGAAGTCATATCAGTAATCCGTTAGATCAGGCTTCAGGCATTTGTTCTTCGCCTCGCTGATATTACGTGCATTACTGCACATTTTTGACGTTGAAAATCTTGCACCATTTCTCGCTACATGCGTGCAAATTGTCTACGTCCTCTTGTAGTATCTTGGCGTCATCTTCATCTTTTATCGATCTTCAAAGTTTAAGATCGTCTGCAAAGAGCGCTTTGTCCGATTTCACCTCCCGTACTAAATCATTTACATAGATAATGAATAGGAGGGACCCAAGAACTGACCCCTGTGGGACTCCACTTGTTACAGGTGTCCATTCTAAGCAGCAGCCACCAGCAGGGACTTTTGTCTACGACCGTTTAGGAAATCTTGAATCCGGTTTAGAAGATTTCGTCTTATCCCTACTCCCGACGATTTTGAACGAGGCGATTATATGGAATGCAATCGAACGCCTTGCTGAACTAAAAGTAAAAGGCATCTGCTGGAAGTCCTTCATCCATGGCCTTCGACTAATGTTCGAGTGACGCAAGCGGGTTTGTGAGGCAGAACCTCTTTTCGCAGAAGCCATGTTAAACTGAACTGTTGTGACAGCGGAATGTATCGAATGATATCACTGATTTTTTAATTATCTTTTCCATCACTTTGCAGCTGATGCATGTCAGACTCACCGGCCGGTAGACGACGGGATATAATCGTGATCCTCCCTTGTGGATAGGTACGGCGTTTGCAAACTTCCATGAGTCAGGTTGTTTGCCAGCTTCCAGCGCTTTTTGGAAGATTATAGAAAGTGGCTCTGCTAATTCTTCGGCTAGCTGACGCAGAAGTACACCTGGGATCTCATCTGGTCCAGGTGACTTGGCCGGATCCAGCTTATTTAGCTCTGCTTAAACTAACTGCGGTGTAAATAATAAGTTGGTTGGCGAGCTGTGGCAGAGAACAGGACTGAAGGGGTGGTTCCGTGGTAAAGACACTGTGAAAAACTGTGAAAGAACCTCGGCTTTTTGAAAGCCTTTGAGGTTGCGAGATGGTCCCGGTTTTTCGTATTGCTTTAGGTTTTGGCTGCGCCTCTTCCGGGAGCTTTAGTTCATAAGAGACTCGTACTGCACGGATGAGTCTTTTGCATAAGTTTCGTTGTTTTCTAAATTCCTGAAGTTTTTCTGGGCTCCCCGTTTGTAAGAAGATGATCCACAACTTGCGTTTTTCTCGGATTGCACTCTTAACCGATGTTGTCAGCCATTTGGGGTTGTTTCCGGTCGGATGTTTCTTGAGAGTACACTATTTCAGCTATTCAGTGTTCGAGCCTCAGGTGTTCCACACTGCGGAGTCGGGTATGACTAGCCGGAAATGTATATATATATACATATATATCAATCAGGAATGGGCGCACACCGATCTATTGGCTTCACAAAGCAAACAAGCTCCGTATGTGTGGCAAAGGTCACGAACAGGCAACCAATTACCAGGCCGAAGTCGGCCAAGTCATAATAGCAGCGAGGAGGGACGACAGAGAATGCGGGTAGATTGATACAGCACTGTTTTGGGCTTATTCTGCCTTCATTCAGCCAATCATAACCCTGACCACCAGCAGCTGAGACCAGAAACACAAACATGCGCACAGACGCACCTGGCGCAGTCGGTCCACCACTGAGGCCTACCAGATGGGTCATAAGCACTTCATCGAACCGAAGTTCATCAGTGCCTCGCCACCTGTCGTCCCTCCTCGCTGCTATTATGACTTGGCCGACTTCGGCCTGGTAATTGTTGCCTGTTCGTGACCTTTGCCACACATACGGAGCTTGTTTGCTTTGTGAAGCCAATAGATCGGTGTGCGCCCATTCCTGATTGATAAATACCCGATCTGCAGCGACAGAGAATGACAGGTGGCGAGTCACTGATGAACTTCGGTTCGATGAAGTGCTTATGACCCATCTGGTAGGCCTCAGTGGTGGACCGACTGCGTCAGGTGCGTCTGTGCGCATGTTTGTGTTTCTGGTCCCAGCTGCTGGTGGTCAGGGTTATGATTGGCTGAATGAAGGCAAAATAAGCTTGAAACAGTGCTGTATCAATCTACCCGCATTCTCTATCGTCCCTCCTCGCTGATATATATATATATATATATAATGTGAGTAGAGGCGTTGACTTCTAAACCAACAGGTCGCGAGTTCGATGCACGGGTATTCCACACTTCGGTCTTGGGTATGGCTGGCTGACGACGGCTAATAAGCCAGAAATGGCCATTCCAGTCTCCCTTGTCTTTTTCGGCAATACCATTCTGCCTATATATCATGCGCCGCTATGCGACAGCTGGTAGGGCTCGAGAGAGAGTCCATAAGGCACAAAGGAACGAGTGAGTTACGTATGAACGATCGGTGAGCGCCCCCTAACATTGTATATTCCCGATCGAAAACCGACAAGGCATCGGGCTCGTGGCCCGGTGAGTAGAGTCGTTGACTTCTAAACCAACAGGTCACGAGTTCGAGGCTCGGGTATTCCACACTTCGGGCTTGCGTATGGCTGGCTGACGACGGCTGATAAGCCAGAAATGGCCATTCCAGTCTCCCTTGTCTTTGTCGGCAATAGCACTCTGCATATATGTACATATAGAAGCGAGGAGGGACGACAGAGAATGCGGGTAGATTGATACAGTGCTGTTTCGGACTTAGTGTGCCTTCATTCAGCCAATCATAACCCTGACCACCAGCAGCTGGGACCAGAAACACAAACATGCGCACAGAAGAACCTGGTGCAGTTGGTCCACCACTGGGGTCTACCAGATGGGTCATAAGCACTTCATCGAACCGAAGTTCATCAGCGCCTCGCCACCTGTCATTCTCTGTCGCTGCAGATCGGGTATATATATATATATATATATATATATATCCCGTTCGGGTATTTATTCAATCAGGAAAGGGCGCACACCGATCTATTGGTTTCACGAAGCAAACAAGCTCCGTATGGGTGGGATTGAATAAATATACGATCTGCAGACGAAGCCAAAAACCAAACCCAACCGGCCCTAGATTTTGGAGGGGAAACTTTGACGAGACCGAAATTCTCGCAAGAGGTGACAACCGCGTGAGCGGGGAGCTGCTTGAGTCATGGTTTACTGGCCCCTAGTCAATAAACAAGCGCAATAATCTTCCCATTCAATACTCGGTGCTGTGACTTCGTCTAGGCGGAGTAAATGGCCACGCGAGGAGCGCACAGGTGAACACTTTCCCCAACACTAGGGTCAGCGCGTCAGATGTTCGAGCAATCATCACATCAACATCCAACGCATGTGATGAATTGCAGTAATTAACGACCCGAATGTCGACCATCACACCACAGGAAAGGATCTCTGATGAAGGGGGGAGCCGTGAATCTACATAGGTATGCGGTAACATGGCTACTGCATCCTATAAATACTGCAGCCGCATATGCATGAACCATCCCTATCTGCTTTGTCTCTGATGATGGGTTCGAGCAGGAATCCGAATCGTCGGGCTAATAAAGCTCTTGTCCCAGTGATCGTGTCTCCATCTTCAAGACTGCTTCTTGGGACCCGTCTCTTCACTTCTATTAGCAAGGTATTTGGGCGCGATGCGCTCCGATCGACCCGGCGATGGGAAATCTTCGCCCTTCGTGAGGCCTCTACGTATTCGCAGATCCGGTTTCTGCACAGGTCTTTCGACAATAATGTGTTGCCGAAATGTGTTTCGTACAAGCCCCCGGTTAACATGGATTTGGTGAGACGAGCAGTATTTCGACTTGGCAGAAGGATGATCCGAGTGCTCCTCCAAGATGTCTACGCGAGACTTCGCAAGTACCATCAAAGTATTGACCAAGAAAAGACCAGATGCTGTGAGTTCATTGGAGAGATCGGTACAAATCTGCTTCTGCAGAGGATAGCTGAACAAGCCCGCCAACAGAGAATCATACGCGGTGCAGTGCTGGGGAACAAATTCCGAAAGCTGCCCAATTCAACGTCGCCCAGAAACGACAAACTGGTGCACAACCTGTCGTCAAAGGTGCTGACGAAGGATCAGACGCAGGTTTTACGGCACGAAGCTTCATTCAACACGACTGACGACAAACCTGGTAACATGATTGCAGCAGTGAAATCAATCCTTAGACGAAGGCAACGGAGGAGATTAAGAGCCTCATCCGACACCAGGTGTCGTCTCTCTTAATGGCCCACAGGCCGCGCGAAATGCTTTCCAAGGTCGAGCGTGATGCGCTTAGAGAACTCCAGGCCGACAAAGATCTGGTCATTGTGCCAGCGGACAAGGTTCGCTTCACGGGTGTACTGGACAGAACAGACTACCTTCAAAAATCCAAAGGTTTACTGGAGGACCGACAGTTCTATGTCCCATGTGCAAAGAACCCTTTAAAAACACTGACACGCGAAATTAATGCCACGTTTTTGGCCTTGGAGGACTCAAGTGCAATAAAACCGACCAACAGACGCGTGGCGAGACCCCAAGATACGGCTTTGGCCCGATTCTATGGCCCCCCTAAGGTGCGCAAAGACGGCGCTCCTCTCCGAACCATCCTGTCGCTCAAAGGAACTCCAACAAACGGACTAGTTAAGTGGCTTTTCCGGCGTCTCGAGTTCCGGACCGCTGAGTCAGACACCACAGTCTCTTCGTCAGCAGAATTCCTGGAGAAACTCAAAGAGGTAAGCCTCCATCCAAATGAGGTCATGGTATATTTTGATGTTACATCCCTTTTTACTTCTATTCCCCAGGACCTGGCGATCGGGACAATCGAGCTGCTTCTACAAAGCAAATAAGATGAAACGGAGAATCGCCTCGGACGCGCCCAAATCATCCAACTCCTGAAGTTCTGTCCCAAGACGTACTTTACGTTTGACGGAACAATCTACGAGCAGGTAAAGGGTACACCAATGGGTTCGCCGATTTCGAGATTCATCGCCGAGGCGGTCCTGCAACGGTTAGAGTCGCTGGTCTTCAAAAACACAGACCGAAATTTTCGGCTCCGTATGTGGATGATACCTTCGTTGCCATCGAACGGGATCATGTGCTGATGTTCAAAGAACATCTCAATACCGTCTTCCCGGACATTCAATTTACGACTAAGAAGGAAGAAAACAACTAGCTGGCCTTCCGGGATGTCCTCGTCTGTCGCAAGGATTGTGGTGGCCTAAAAACCAAAGTGTTCAGGAAAGCGACATATACGACGCAAATACTGTACTTCAACAGTAACCACCCGCTCAGTCACAAACGCAGCTGCGTAAGGGCGCTATACCGGCGCGTTGAGACACACTGAAATGAAACAGAAGACAAGGTTGCTGAATAACAATACTTTCAATGGGCACGGAGATCCAATGGTTACCCGCGCAACTCTGTCAACCAGTGCATGCGGAATTGACACCAGAGACCAAATCCAACCGGCCCCAAATTTTGGCGGGCTCTTCCGTACTTGAAGAACGTCTCGGAAGCCGTCAGTCGTCTTCTCACTCCACTTGGAGTTGGGGTTGCACACAGGCCGGAAACAACCATCAGGCGCCAAGTCATGAGGCCAAAAGACCCCCTGCCACGGCAGGAAAAATCTGGAGTCGTTTATTGGATCTGGTGCAACTGCAGACAAAGCAACTACGTCGGAGAAATTGGGAGATTATTCCGTACGCGAATTGCCAAGCACGCAGCGGCAGTGAGGCGGGAAGACGCCAGCTCTCAGGTAGCGGCTCATTCGACGGGACCCCGCCATATTTTCAGGTCTCAAGAGGCCTTTATCCTCTCTAGGGGGTGACAACCGCGTGGGTCGCAAGCTGCTCGAGTCATGGTTTTCAGGCCAGCAATCCATCAACAAGCATAATGACCTCCCGGTACCATATTCCGCGCTGAGATTTTCCCTGGACAGGGAATCAGTCACGTGGGGAGGGCGCGGGCGAACAATTATCCCAATGACAGTGAGCCAATTTGCCGAGCCATCGTCACACCAGCATCCAATACGGATGACGAAATCACGGTCATTACCGACTCGGACTCGGACTGACGAGCCATCATCGCATCAACTACGACCCCTGCGGTAATCATGAGAACTGTTAATGATAGTACACATGTGGTCCCACGGCAGCCACGTCTTTGTGCCTCCATGGCCTTTATCTGCAACCGTTTCTGATGATGCGTTCGAGTGAGAATCCAAAACGTCAAGCCGATAAACTTCTTCCACTGATCGCATCTTCTTCTTCTTCTTCTTCTTCTTCTTCTTCTGAATAGTCATTATAAGCCTACTAATCGTCGTCATCTAGTCATGTCCACGCCCAGGTTTGCATGGCTTTGCATTCGAGCGCCGATTTCTTGGTCGACGAGAGTCTTTTTTGAATCTAACTTTGCCAGTGGGTCACGGGCCTGGTGTGCCGTCAGTTGCGATGCGTAGGCGTATTCATTATGGGGTGTGGGTATCGACAGAGCTGAAAATGGATGAAGGCGAAATTTCGACTTCCAGATGTATGCATAAGTGAAGAAGAAGAATCGAGCACCGGAACACTTCGTTTATTATCCTGAGCTTTCAGACTCGCCCACGCCGGAAACAAATCAGGCCGAGAATCGATTGAAGCCTGGGCCTCGGATGAGAACTCGGTCAATCGATTTATCGATTTGGCGCCGGCGTACAGAGACCTGCGTAGTCACCTCCAGTCGTGCGACGTCGGTCGATGATTGGGCCTACGTGCCTTATAACTGCCGCTTGTCCTGTTTCTGCCACTACCTCTGACGATGGAGTCCTGTACGCGTCTGAAAGCTCAGGATAATAACCGAAGTGTTCCGGTGCTTGACTCTTCTTCTTCTTCACTTATGAAAATGGATTGATATAACACTTTTTCGAGCCTGTCCTGCATCCAACCACTCACAGCCTTCACCACCATCTAGGGCCAAAAACGGAAGCATGCGCACGCTCACAGCACAAATAATACACATACGGGGTCTAGCAGATGGGTCGCAGGCAAATTAATCGGTGCGTCACCATTTGACGTTCTCTGCCACTGTAAATTGAGTATATCACCGCAGAGGAATGACCCACATCCATCCACTGGCTTTCCAAATCAAACAAACGCCGAACGCACATCATGGCGGGCTTTTGAAATTGAGCCGCCATTTTTTTCCCTCCAGTCACGTGAACACTTATTAATTGCATACCCCAGTCTAATTCCTTTGTTTTAATTGATATATTCCTATGAGGTCGTCTTTACAGTACGCTAGTACCTTTTTAAAGGAGTTTAAACCCTGCGAAATTTTTGCATCGATTTTTCCGCCTCCTGATCATGACTCTAGTGGCTGCACTTTGCGGCCAATTTGTCGTTTCTGCGATTATCTTGCGTTGACGTTCTCACGCTCCCAAACGCAATGAAATCACCGTGCCAGCAGCAGTTACACTCTGACAACTTGTCCTGTTTCTCGTCCTTCCTCGTTGGCCTTCCCACGCTCGTATCAGCAAAGGCCAATATTTCGAAAGCAACATCGCTGTGGATGGCAAGTTGCGCTTAAACGCCAGCCTAAAAACAAGTTATCAATCCCGGGTTTTCTTTCGACTAACTGTCGATCGGTATTTAACAAAGCCCATGATTTGGAATAACTTCTGTCAACCAAAGAACATGGCAAAACAGAAGTTATTGGCCTTCAGGAGACGTGGTTGAATAGCCATATTGACTCGGAACTAATCACTCTTTCGTCATTTTGTTGTTTTCGAAATGATAGACCATCTCCAACAGGCAGTAGAGGTGGAGGAGTGGCCATTTTTGTCAATCAAGACTGGTGTATAAATTTTGATATCATTATGCAGCGACACTTCAATATGGTGGAGCAATTTGCCGACCGAATTCTGAATGACACCGTCCATCCTTTTCATAATGAGTTAATGGCTGCGAAATCCTTACGCCCCATGCGTCGATGCTTCCACCACATCCCTTGTCGCACTTCGGCTTATCAGAATTCAATACTGCCATTTCTAGCCCGGTATCTCACCTGCAAAGATGCTGAAAAACAAAAGCTAAAACTCGATCTTGCACCTTAAAGTCCTTTTTTCTTCATATATAGTTATGTCCACCTGTCCAATACCTGTTAATCTCTATGGTAATCACCGTGTACTGGAGAACCGTTTTTGCTGAAAGTTTTGAATGTTATTTTCAAAATAAAGCATTCCCCCCTCTCTCTCTCTCTCAAAAAAAGAATAGCAGGAATTCCGAAAAGTCAGATACCTACTAGGCTTAATATGACCAAGATATGGTAGTGGGGGACATCTATTCACCCGGACCGCTGTCTCCCTATCTCCTGCCATCATCTCTTAGCTGAATTCGAAAAGATGTACGGCAACTGGGTCGGAAATGGATATGTGCACCCTCCGCTACCTGTATTATGCAAATGGTGCTAACCGAAACCTTTCATGGGATAAGCCGTGCTGTTTTAAATATATACAAGTGGAAAAGTCATACGCTGGATGCTTGTTTTACTGCATTAAACAGGCATTGTACAGGAAGATAATTCAGAAAATCGGTGGATGGGTGTGTGCCTATTCCTCTCTTAACGATATGAGCATTGTTTTCACAAAAAAGCGAATAAATGTATAACAGAACACGGAGCGAGGATTTGGGATGTTCTTAAGGAAGCATTGCAGCAAAACAATGACGCGTTTACTTAGGTTGGACGTCTGGAAGATTGCTTTAGTCTACAAAGAGACTGCAAAATGGCTTTCATTCGATCTTTGCCTGTGCCAAAACAGCTTTAAGTTTACAGCTGCAGACCTTCAATGTGTTAATGAGAAGTATTACTTTGAATTTATATTAGAGAAAAGGGTTCTAAGTATTTGTGCCTATAAGTGAAGAAAAAGAAAAAGAGGGGTCGAGTACCGGAACATTTTGTTTATTGTCCTCAGCTTTTGAACTCATGCAGGAGCCTGTCGTCAGAGAAACCTTAACGGTGAGATTGGAACGATTGTTTATAGGAAGGCAACGAACACCACATAGCTTCTCAGTTTTCACAGCACCCATCCGGTGGATCACAAACGAAGCTGTGTGAAGACGCTCTTCAAACGGATCCAAACTCATTGCAGCAAACCGGAGGACAGAGCACGTGAGGCCCGTTATCTCCGCGACCAGTTTGTGCAAAATGGCTATCCGAGGACATTTATAAGTCGCTGCCTACGCGGTCGCCCTTAGAGGACTCAAACATCAACACCACCGGCGATGTGGCATTCTCTGCCATACATCAAGGACGTTACAGAAGCGACCGAGCACATTGTCGCGGAGCTAGGTGTTGGAATTACACACCGTCCCAAAGCCACCATGCGCAGCACGGTCGTAAAAATTAAAGACCGGTTAAAGCCTGAAGAGCAATTTGGAGTGGTGTATCGCATCCTGTGTCAAAATTGTCCTTGTACCTACACAGGACAGACTGGACGCATGCTCGAATCGCGCTTACGCAAACATAAGGTGGCTGTGTGACGAGGCGACGCATAAGTGGCTGCCCATACCTACGAAATGGGTCACGAGTCCAACTTCGCAGCCACCAAAATAGTCGCCCACGCCGGAAACAAAACAGACCGAGAACTGATTGAAGCCTAGGCTTCAGGTGAGAACTCAGTCAATCGATTTATCGGTCTCACGCAGTCGCCTCCTGTCTTGCGTAGACGGTCGATGATTGGCCTACATGCCATATAACCGTCGCTTGTTTTATTGCTGTCGCTATCTCTGACAATGGACTCCTGTACGGGTGCGAAAACTCAGAACAATAAACAAAGTGTTCCGGTGCTCGACCCCTCTTCTTCGTCTTCCTCTTCTTCACCTATACATACGGCTAGAACTTGAAATCTCGCCTTCATTTGTGCTTATAGCATGCGCAGACTTATCGAATTTTGGGTAGTTTCCAGTTTCTCTTCGATTCGGGCTTCTTTATTTACAAGCATGCTTTTCTGATGCCGAGTAAAAACGTCAATCGTTCCCTGAAAATTATCAGCTAAAGCTACATTCCTATCGATTTGAATACCAAACTTGAGGAATTTCAGCGGGCTCTGTCGGAAGTTATTTATCACAGATTATTAGAGAAACACACAAAATTCATGATCTTTATGTCATTGGTTCGATCTCAACTGCCGAACCTTGCGAAAAGAAATGGAAGCTGTTGCACAGCGACGAACTGGCCGGGAGGCTAGTACTTTCTGGCATCGCGGCTAACAGCTGAGGCGGATTTTGATCGGGAGTTCTGCCTCCTACTGTTCTGCATTCTCGACGTGGGCTTTGCTGGCACCTGACTTGCAAGTTCGCTGACATCTGCAACGCTGGGGGCTCGACGTAAGTCACTCGATGGTACTCTGTTCACGGAACCCCTCTGACCGGCAGTTAGAGACGATCTGATAGGTTGCGTATCTGTAAGTAGAAAAAAATGTTGCTTATGGTGTCGTCGATTGTGGTAAGTCTTAGACTGCAGTTTCGCAGACAACCTTGATTTCGATAATTTAAAAAAAACTATGCACAGTTTCAGTCTGGGGGAACCGTGTTACATAGTCATCCGGTATACCAAAGGGTAATGTCGTTTGCATACGTTAAAATGGTTTCCATGGTATTAACAAATATTTGGGTCAGAGGTCCTCTGGGAATGTTCCTATCCCCCAAAAAGCAGTTGATCATGAAAATGGAGGATCGCTGGACGCAGGCGAGCAGTCGGACGTAGTTTCTCAAATCCCGTGCCATAACTGTTCTTGCCACTACGCAGACCAAACAGGACGACGTCTCAGCTCACGAATATGTGAGCACAAACGTGCCGTCCGAAGAGGCTATCCACTATCGCAAATCGCTACTCACACGCTGGATGAAGGCTATGAGTTCGACTTCGCCAACACGCGGATATTGGCGCGAGCAGGCAACAAGACGGGGCGAGAACTGTTGGAGGCGTGGGTGTCGGACACCAACTCTATCAACAGACACATTGATTTGTCTGCGTGTTGTCACGCGCTCTGCCAAGCAGCCAGGTGGCGCAGCTCACATCTCCGCGAAGTACAAACGGCGTCACCACGCCGTGGGACCACTGTGGGCCAGGCAGCACAAACCAGACCTCGTCACGGACGTAGTCACCTCCTCCCCACCTCCCCCACGGCACAACGATATAAATGTTCACACGTTGCTGCCCTCTAGCAGTCTCTGATGATGAACTTCTGTTCGAGTGCGAAAGCTAACACCAACAAATCTACCGTCCCAGTGATCGTGCCTTCGTCTTCTTTTAAGCAGTTGGTATGTTTATCTCCTTGAAGAGATTTCTCCTGGAAGTCACAAGGCGCCAGCAGGTGCCTTGAAGACTTAAGAAGTTCCTTTGTTTAGGAAATGACGTACGACGTTTCTTCAACAGACTTTTAAATGTTTCCTAGAGCTTTCTAACTGAGGGAGAGAGCACACATGACCGAGGCAATCTAGTTACGTTTCGCATGAAGAAAAGCATTTTGTAAGTAAGCTGGCCAAAAAAAATTACCGAGAAGGACAAGTGAGACTGGAATAGCCGTGTTGGAGATTATGATAATCTAAGTGAGGCAGCATGTGAAACAACAAATATTTAGGGTTATAACCTACTAGAGTAGATAGAGTAGGTATTATTTCTAGGCAACGGATATTTGGGTGTCATCTCCCGATTGTTACCGTAGCCGTTTCTGGATTGTTGGCCGTCATCAGTCAGCCGTACCCAATCTCGAGGCATGCGACCTCCGAGGCCCGACCTCGCGATTTGTTGATCCAACGCCCCAACCATTGAGTTGCGGGTTTGTTTCCCTGTCGGCCGCGATCGGGTATTTTAACAGTGGTAGAGAGGCACGACAGATGCGTATTCAACGAGCAGTATCCTGGCCTGTGAGGGATGGTTTAAATGTTGCCGCACGCCGCTCGAACTTGCAACCTTTACCCAAGTGATCCGTTTTAATTAAAATCGTATTTTAAAAGCTCGGCCGACAGTCATATAGTCCATGATTTCTAGAAGTCAGTAGCATCATGTTTCATTAGTAAGGTTGAAGGCTTGGCATCGGGAACGAAAAAATGATCGGATGGCCTACCGATCGCGTTACGGAACTCATTTGTCCCGTCCTGCCCATCATTTGATATACCCTATCGCAACCGACAGGTCAACGAGCCAGGCCTCCTAACTAACAGGTCGCGGGATCGGGCCCCAGGGGTTTCAGGCCTCCGGGCTGGGAATGACTGACTGATGATGGTCAGCGGGCCAGAAATGGTCATTTCGGTCGCCCTTATCCTTGTCGGTAGTGCTATTCTGCCATTCTGAACTCCTTTATCTCCGCACGTAATAGTTCTGGGTAGAAGAGTATCGCATTCGGGAATATGGGCTCACGTCAAATTTCAGGGGGTACCTATTCCCGTGTTCCAATTTCAATAATCGTAACGGTCATTAGTTACCCAAATTTAGGACAAGGTAACCGGTAATACGGGCGTCCAGCCTCATAGAGTCAAATACGTTGAATAGAAGCCGGTTCAGTTGATCGACATGACAGGACGGTGAGTTCAGTGATCAGGGCCATGCGTTCGCTCAAGCAATTAAAGACCAGGTCTCAGGGTGTGCCCTAAAGTTTATCCAGTTCATTCTCGAGACAGAGTGCGGAGAGGGATGACAATATAAAATTAAGACTAGCCATATTAACGACGTAATGTAACTGTGTGCACAAATCTAATTCCGGTTAGATCGCAGTTGGTAGCCAGGCCCGTATTACAGGTGGCCGGCGGATTGTTTACTGGGGCTATTTTGTGTGGCCCCATAATCACATCTGACCCATTTGGCTTCCGTTTTACGTTTGAGGTTAGGATTAGGGTATCGGTTAATGGTGTCGGATTTTCGGGTTAGGGTTATGCCTTTAGGCTTAGCTTATTGGGTTACGGTTAGGGTTTGAGCGTACGAATAGGTTTCAGTATTACGGTTAGGTTTCTCAGTTACGGCGATGTCTAGGGGTTACGGTTACGTTTACGATTTCGGTTAGGGTTAATGGTTAACGTTTAAGGTTGAGGTTAGCGTTAAGGCTAGGATTAGGGTTAAGGTCGCCGTCCGCTTCCCCATTCCTGGCTACCAACTACGATCTTGCCCTTATTTCACCCTCCGAATGTACAATACAGTTCCCGAGCTCTCTGAGGCCAAAGCGGGACGTGAAAGGTTGTATTTCCGTCTATGGAATGCATGCTTGCTAACAACTGCTTCGAAGTGGGCAACAGACACGGGATTTAGGTCTATCATTTCAATGGGTGTGGGCCCGATTGACCGCGATGTCATTAGCTTCATTTGATATACCCTATCGCAACCGACAGGTCAACGAGCCAGTGGCTCAGTGGTTAAGGCCTTCTAACTACCAGGTCGCGGGATCGGGCCCCAGGTCTTTCACGCCTCCGGGCTGACGAACTGATGATGGCCAGCGGGCCAGAAATGGCCATTTCGGTATCTCTTGTCTTTTTTATTTATTTTTTACGCGCTACTATGAGGCTGCTAACGGGACTTGAGAGAGAAAACCCGTAAGGCAAAACGGGCCGAGTAAGTTCCGTGGCGCGACCGGCACGCCCCTCATTATTCCACAAAAATAATCGACAGTTTCAAATTTGAGTGAATTTAAAATCCCAGTAGCAAATTGGCCTTGATGCGTTCATGCGTTCCATTTCAATGTATTTGAAGGACAAAATTTCACCGACAAACTGCCAGTCCAGACCACTTCTATGTGCGTTCACCGGCAGAGGTGTATTGAAGGTCCAATACACCTCTCCCGGTGAACCCCTCCTTTTTGACATATCACCTGGGAATCGCATTTTCGTTACTATTGACATCTATGTGTATTTACTCCTTCACCTGCTCCTGTGGGGCAGAATATATTGGTCGCAAGAGCCGGCGTTTGTCCAAAAGAATAAGAGGACGCCTTCCAGCATGGGTAGGAAAGGGCCAAAGAACGTCAATAGCTCCATCCTCTGGTAGGGGACGCTGTGCGGCTGCTGGGTGGGCTCGAGAGAGAGTCCTTAAGGCACAACGGAACGAGTGACTTCCGTAGGAACGATCGGTGAGCGCCCCCTACCATTGTATATTCCCGATCGAAAACCGACAGGGCAACGGGCTCGTGGCCCGGTGGGTAGAGGCGTGGACTTCATAACCAGCAGGTCGCGAGTTCGAGGTTCGGGTGTTGCACACTTCGGGCTTGGGCATGGCTGGCTGACGATGGCTAATAAGCCAGAAATGGCCATTCCAGTCTCCCTTGTCTTTGTCGGTAATACCATTCACCCCTATCCTCGCCCACATGGTAAGCACAGACCACTGTGCGGATGCCGGACAGGCATTCCGAGTGATTTACAAGGTCCCGACAAGCTATCCAAAATCACTTGGACAGCGTCTGTTGGTAACAGCAGAGGCGGCTGCAGTCAGGCTATACAAACCATTTCTATGCTCACAAAATAACTTCGTACAGACCCCACAGTTACCATGGCCCAAACCCACCATGCCAGTCACCTGCGTATAATTACCCGTCCCAGTGCCCACCATGCCCTTCTCCCCCCTGAAACTGACGGTAATTTTGTTTTTCACCTCACCCACTCAGACCCTCCCCCCAAACCCCAGCAACAGAATAATTTCTGCCTGTCCGAATTTTCCTTTTAATCATTTCGATAGCAATATAAATGTTTAGGCCTGATGAGAATTTATCGCAAGCTTACGTATTCTCACCAAATTGTCTTTTGAATTCTTCAATAGGAATTTTCGCAGCTTCTATACTTCTATGTAATGACAGTGAAACTTTAATCTAACGGCGCTTAAAGTAGACCACACCGAGGCTGCACAAATAGCACGGTAGCTTTCAACTTATGTTTGCCTAATTTGATTATGATTGGTAGAATGCAGTCCGGTGTAATGACCACTATGCATCCAGCTAGTTTATGCGCAGTAAGTGGTCTGAATAGGTCGGATGACTGACACAACACCCACCTATAATGTTGAAGAAGGAGACACGATCGCTGGGGCAAGAGCTTTATTAGCCTGACGTTTCGGATTCCTGCTCGAATCCATCATCAGAGACAAAAACAGATACGGGTGATTCAAGCACAAGGGGTTGCAGTATTTATAGGATGCAGTCGCCATGCGACCACATACCTATGAGCATTCACGGCTCCCCCCTTCATTCGGGATCGTTGCACTTGGTGTGCTAACTGTTTGATGGCCGACATTCGCGTCGTTAATTGCTGCAGTTTGTTTGCGTGCGTTGGGTGTTGGCGTAGTAATTGCTCGATCAACCGATCCACCGACTCTGGTGTTGTAACAAGTGTTCACATGTGCGCTCCCCGCATGGCTAATTACTCCGCCTAGACGAAGTCTCAGCACAGAGTATGGAAGGGGAAGTTCATTGCACTCACCTGTAAAGGCACCCTCAGGTGGTCCGGTTTGTAGGCCTGAATAGTCCAGTGCGGGCAGTCTCATTGGAGCCGGCATGAGAGATGGCATTCGACTGACAGGATTCAGAGGCCACTGCGGAGTAAACTGTCGCTGCGCAGCCATCTGCGTGGAGCACAGAAGGGCTTGCACCTTCTGCACAATAATCGATTCGGGGTTGGGAAGGGTCCAGGTGTCAATGCTGAGCATGCGGGCCAGGGTGTTCCTAAAGTCCAACAGCTGCAGCAGGAAATTCGGAAAACCGGGTTACAAAAAAGCCTCTCTTCAAACTCAACGGCAATTTATACAGTAGGTGGACTAGCTCATGAAATGTCAACCGAAATTCCTAGATGCGTTTTCGGGCAACGGTATAAGGAAGGGCCCCACTTAAATGTCAGTAGACTGTGGATCGTAGCATACGTGAGTGGGGCAGAACGCTAGCCAGTAAGCTGACAAAATGAAAGAAAAGACAAAAATTGCCTGGATTTATGCCGAAAGTCTTATCCTACACTATTGTACGACAACGGAAATGAGAGCAGTAACTAAACAATAAATAAAAAGTGAATTTCGCAAAATAACGGATTTTGAGTTAGGGTTTGGGGTCATGGGAAGTAGTTGGCAGTGTAATTTCTGCAACAGTCTGCAAATGTATACCAAGATAAAACCCCACATGGCACGATCGAAAGTTTACTGACATTTGCCCGTTTTCGTTTCAAAATGATTAATTAAATAGAGCTGTAAAACTAATCAACCTGCAGAATTATCCTATAATAATTCAGTTACCTCAGGATGCCGACTTTCGAACGAACTTATTTCCGGGTGCATGCAAAAACTTTACTTTGTAAGAAATGACTACTTAATGGACATGCATTTTTCCATCGATTTTCGATGCCATAAAAAATTCGATTATGCTTCATGGAAAACATGCATTTGGTAGAAAATTTCACCTCCTACTAAAAAAGTGTATAAACTTTTCCAATTCCCGATTAATTTTGAACCCCGACTTGCGTTACACATGCATTGAGGGTTTTAAAACTACAAGCCGTGCATTTTTTGCGCATGGAAAACTATACATTTCTCTACGGTATTAAGAGAGGACTATATGTGGTTCGTTAAATTGAGCAGTGGATTTAAGTCATATTGTCATCTTCACAAGCCACATTGGTAAATGCAGAGACATGACGTTTTATGAACGGCCGTTTCACGGTACTAAAACATCTCACAATAAGAAACCTTCTTAAAACCGAAGTACATCTTCCTCTCGAGTATGAAATTGGCGGTAGACGTAATTCTCTACCGAATGAGCAATAGAATGAATATTTTTATGCATGTTTTCCACGAAATATAATTGAATTCTTAAGGGCGTTGAAAATCAATGAGAAAAATGCATGCTCGTTAAGTAGCCATTTTTAGAGAATATGGTTTGTGCAGACAGCCGGAAAGAAGTCTATTCGAAAGTTGACATGCGAAGGTAATTGAATTATTGTAGTATTGTGCTGCACGATGGTTATTTTTACAACCCCACTGAGTTAATCTTTTTTGAAAAGAAAACACATTTTGGAATTTAGGTCGATATTTCATGAGTTACTCCACCCAGGCTACAAACTCACTCGAATTTGCTTCTGACGAACGCCGGCGATGATGCCCTTGGCAGCAGTCAGTTGTTTCTCCTGCTGTTGACCAGAAAGCTTCTGTTGTTCCGTTTTCGTCTGCAGGCCGGCAATTTTGCGCGCCTGCTGTTGTCTAAGTTTTTCCAGCTTATTCGTCAGCTTCTCGAGATGCTCCGCCTCCGAATCCTAGTGAAACAAATTAAAACACGACTTCTGATCGTCAAATAAGTCATCTAAATGAGTGAATTCTGTTAAATTTCTCTCAAGACTTGCTCCGGCGGTTATCAATAGGCGTCGGTGTGTGGAAGAACGTACCTTTTCGTCCTCCATCTGTTCCATTCGCCTGTGCAACTCTTCGATTTCCTTCTTGGCGCCTTCCAACTCTGCAAGCAGTTCTGATTCCCTAGAAACCATCCTCTGTCGCTCCATGCGGTCACCGTGCGACAACTTCGTAGCCAGCTCGATTCTGAGTTCTTCGATATCTGCCATGGCCCTTTCTAAGCGGCTACGAAGGCCGAGAGCTAGAGACTGCAGGCAGCAAATACACAGGTTCTGTATGAGGGTTTCGTCTGACTTGTTCCAGGTAGGTGCGCTGCGTGCGAGGTCATAGGCTGAAACTCGCATCTCTTCACAGCTAGGGCAGGCAGCGTTTGCTGTGCGACCAGGTGAAGTTCTAAAAGAAATATATATCAATAGTAGTGAGAATGCGATCCCCAGGTGGCATATCAAAAGAAAAGGAGGCGTTCACCGGGAGAGGTGTATTTGAGGTCAGACGTTTCGGGACCGCCAGTTATCGCCGCGGCCGACGAAGATGGGCGGGATTCAGGCCACGGTGACATGCGGATCGGATGCAGCCCCACGGGCGACATTGGTGGGCCAGGCATCAAACAAAGCGCGCCATAAAAGGAAAGCTGCGTGCATGATTGCTCAGTCTGTGAAGATGGGTAGAAGAAATGACTACCCGAAACGTCAGACCTCAAATACAGCTCTCCCGGTGAACGCACCTTTTTATTTAGGAATATATATTGCTACTAATTGTGCTTGAGTAGACAGGATATATAACTATCACATATAGAAACCGTTAGGGTTTAGGCATAGGTCGATCGCGGCTGACCTACTGGGATAATAACAATTTTACTGGAGAAAATATCTATTTCAACGAGCTAAACCTCGCCAATACGACTTGTGAAACCGAGAAAACACCCAATTACCCCGAAAGGGACCTACGGATTTGGAGACATTGGAGGAAACCCGAGTTTATAAGTTAGTTAAGTGGCCCTCTTCAATCTCACCCCTCGGACATAAGTACCTTGTACGTTTACGTAGGTCAGGTTATGCCCACCCCGGAGAGCAGGGAAGACCTTGCCCAGGGCAGACTGAACTAGGGAAGAACAGTGAGGACTTACGAGGTGATCTATGAAACAAACCGGATCACCGCTGCCAAAACTAAAAGGGCGGCTCACAAGTCACCAACGCCTCGGATCCACAAAGCCAAAACCTCACCTCTTCCTACAAGTCCACGCTGCGAATGCGCATTCCGCGAGCGAATCGGCCGCGTTAGACAACTGGGGACTTAATGGAGCAACCTCAGACTGGCAAAATCGACCGTCAGCCCTGTCCAAACCCACCACGGCGTCCACGACGACGACCATCCCCACCAACAGTGACCACACTCTCGATGCCAATATAAGCGAAGAGACGAGCCTGAGGAAGCAGTCTTGAAGAAGGGGACACGATCGCTGGGAAAGAACTTTATTCGCCTGACGTTTCGGATTCCTGCTCGAACCCATCATCCTAGACAAAAGCAGATAGGGGTGGTTCATGCATATGCGGCTGCAGTATTTATAGGATGCAGTAGCCATGCTACCGCATACCTATGAACACTCACGGCTTCCCCCCGTTATCAGAGATCCTTTCATGCGGTGTGATGGTCGACATTCGCGTCGTTAATTACTGCAATTCATCACATGCGTTGGATGTTGGTGTGATGATTGCTCGACCATCTGACGCGCTGACCCTAGTGTTGGGAAAAGTGTTCACATGTACGCTCCTCGCGTGGCCATTTACTCCGCCTAGACGAAGTCTCAGTACCAAGTATGGAATGGGATGATCATTGCGCTTGTTAATTGACTAGGGGCCAGTAAACCATGACTCAAGCAGCTCCCCGCTCACGCGGTTGTCACCTCTTGCGAGAATTTCGGTCTCGTCTTAGTTTCCCCTCCAAAATCTAGGGCCGGTTGGGTTTGGTTTCTGGCTTCGTCTGCGGATCGTATATTTATTCCATCCCACCCATACGGAGCTTGTTTGCTTCGTGAAACCAATAGATCGGTGTGCGCCCTTTCCTGATTGAATAAATACCCGATCTGCAGCGACAGAGAATGACAGGTGTCGAGGCGCTGACGAACTTCGGTTTGATGGAGCGCTTATGCCCGATCTGGTAGACCCCAGCGATGGACCAACTGCGCCAGGTGCGTCTGTGCGCATGTTTGTGCTACTGGTCCCAGCTGTAAGTCAGGGTTATGATTGGCTGAATGAAGGCACGATAAGCCCGAAACAGTACTGTACCAATCTACCCGCATTCTCTGTCGTCCCTCCTCGCTTCTATATGTACATATATGCAGAGTGTTATTACCGACAAAGACAAGGGAGACTAGAATGCCCATTTCCGGCTAGTCATACCCAACTCCGCAGTGTGGAACACCTGGGGCCCGAACACTGAATAGCTGAAGTAGTGTACTCTCCAGAAACATCCGATCGGAAACAACCCCAAATGGCTGACAACATCGGTTAAGAAGGGAATTCGAGAAAAACGCAAGTTGCGGATCGTCTTCTTACAAACGGGGAGCCCAGAAAAACTTTAGGAATTTAGCAAACAACGAAACTTATGCAAGAGACTCATCAGTGAAGTACGAGTTTCTTATGAACTGAAGCTCCCGGAAGAGGCGCAGCCAAAACCTAAAGCAGTACGAAAAACCGGGACCATCTCGCAACCTCAATGGCTACTCGCGAAGCAGCCCTAGAGAACAAATTTCGTAAGCTGCCTGCTCCAATGTCATCCAAGAACGACAAACTGGTGCACAACCTGTCGTCAAAGGAGCTGACGGAGGAACAAATGCAGGTTTTACGGCATGAGGCCTCATTCAACACAGCCGATGCCAAACCTGCCAACATGATCGCAGCAGTGGAATCAATCCTCAGCCAGACGGGAGCGACAGACGAAACGAAGAACCTCATTCGACATCAAGTGTCCTCCCTCCTCATGGTTCATAGGCCGCGCGACGTGCTTTCCAAGGTCGAGCGTGATGCACTTAAGGAACTCAGGGCCGACAACGACCTCGTTATCGTGCCTGCGGACAAGGGGCGTTCAACGGTCGTATTGGACAGGACAGACTACAATCAAAAAGCCAAAAGCTTGTTGGAGGATCGTCAGTCCTATGTCCCATGCGAATCCAACCCCATGAAAACGCTGACACGCGAGATTAACGCGACGCTGTTGGCAATGGAGAACTCAGGTGCAATATCGCCAATCGACCGACGCATGGCGAGAGCACAAGAAACGGCCCTAGCCCGATTCTACGGAAACGAATTTTTGTCTTAGTCCTGATTGGTCGCTTCTTAGCCTGGAAGGTGGTGGTCGATAATCATATCGGCTTATGCCTATTGCACGCCCATAATCCAGTTCTGTTTATAGATCCGAGCATCTGTAAGTCTGGCTGAAGGGCTGAATGTGCTGCATCTGAAGATCATTTCAGAAGCTTCCATCAAATAATGATGGTCACTCTCCAACTCTCCAATCCAGAAAAACGCATCTTAATAAGTAAAACCAGTACGACACGCTATTTGTCTAAGAGATATAGAAGAGGAAAGTATGAAATACCGTCAGGTGTCGATCTATGAATCCCGAGTTGCATAAAACCCCGCACCTAAGAGCATTTGCAAGATTTATTATTTAAAGTCGCCAGACGTTCGACCTTCGAAAATGGCATAGCCAGCTGTTGTGGGAGCGTTTTCTGTTCAAAACCAAGTCCCTGAAATTGGCAAAGTCAGAACTGACCTCGCAGAGGCGCTGGCCTGACGATGGTGGTGGTGGTGGTGGTGATTTGTCTGTCCCCTGGCCTGAATTCTGCTTCTGCTCGAGTCCACTGCCTCTGCTTGCGTCGGGTGGGTACTCTCTAAGGCTGTCAAACAGTCAGTCTGCAGGCACCCGCAGGCCACCAGTTGATCGAGTTTGCCTTTGCAAAGGAAAACAGAGGCGTCCTAAAATGGCTCAGTCGGGTTTAAGGGAGGGTTGCAGAAGTACTCTGCTAGACGAGGGAGATGGCGTGGAAATTTAGAAGGCGGTGGCGCATAAACACGAACATCAAGCCGTTGTTTTCAATGGCGGTTGGCTTGGCCCTAGGTCATATTGACGGTTCTGGACGGATCGATAAGAATAACTTTGAGCCCTAATGGCGTCACCTACCTCTGCTTGGGCCAAATCGGCAGCCAGTAATGTTTTTGAACAGGTATCGTAAGGTCTGTTCTTCACAACATCCACTGTAGGTTTAAAAATCACAAAATACGCAGCAACTTTCCCTCCATGCAGAAGATTCCTTACCTGATGAAATACAGACTCGAACTCTAAATCCACCCACCCCTTGCGCGGTTGACACTGGACGTTAATGTCGACTTAATTTGGTTTAACTGTGGGTCACATGGGCGGTTCTGAGCGAACCGATGGGAATAACTTTGATCCCCGATGGTGTCGCCTAGCTCTACGTGGATCAATTACCATGAATTCTCCCCCTTGTTGTGAAGACGGAGACACGATCGCTGAGATAGGAGCTTTATTTGTCTGACGTCTCGGTTTCCCACTCGAACCCATCATCAGAGACAATGGCAGATACGGGTGGTTCACGCACAGTTGGAGTTGTTGTCGAAAAAACTTATGGTAAGATGTGCTCTTCTGAACATCAGCTGCAAGTTTCATGATCGCAAAGCACACAGAGGTTTCCCCGCTGTGCAGAGTATTCCTTGTCTTGGTAGCTGCTCGAAGAAATGCAGACTCAAACTCTGCATCCACCGACCAATAGGAATGGTCATAAGTTGTTTCACAAGCTCGGACAGCCAACTGATGCTTCTTAGAGAGAAGGGGGGGGGAGTGAGGGTGACACTGGGAAATCCGTTGTCATGACCACACTCCTTATCGCAACAAACCTGATGTGCTTCAACCTAAAAGTCGTGACTTGGAAGGCTGCCTTTGTGCCGCGTCCACTTCTCTGAGACTCGAGCCGCCATTACTGTTGCCAGCTACAAAAGGAGGGAGAAGCAGATCGTGCGTGGCACGCGTAAACGGTCACCGCCACTGTCCAGTCCCTCCGACGTCGCCTTACTATCGGAGCAAGGCGAGTTAGGGAGGAAAGAGGGCTCGGTAGATGCTGCACATGTCTTCCCAACTACGTATGAACAAATTCACGTGCAAATCGCCGCTGGTGGACACGCCAGATCGGACGACAGAGGACACTGTTGCTCACGTGACTGAACTGTTCAGGTTTCCAGAGCAACACATAGGGCTTTAAATTCCTACATAGGGATAACGTTGTCAGTAAACGACACACGTAACGCGGCCTTGGAGCAGTTTGTCAGTTAAAGAACGTAAATTAAAGCAAACAGAATCAGAAGCACCATTTTACCAGTCGCTAATGCGGATTTACTTAAGCCAACCTTAAGATCATCTTCAAAAATTTGCGAAAGTATCAAAAATCTCGTCAAAAAATCCCTCATGAAAAGCCTTGTTGGTATATACTGGACACTAAACTTGGCCGGTAACCTCTAAATTGCAACCAGAGTTTATATTTTTCAGTCTCACTTAAATCAAAGAGAGATTAGAATGCAAAATTAGTTATTGGGCAACTTCTTATTTTTTTAAACACTGTGGCCTTCGAAGCGTAATTTGTAGGGCATTTGACTGTACTGGAGCACTGAAATCTTTATCCCAGGTTCAAATCCCATCAAGACTATCGAGGTTCCTGAATTGCAAAGCCCCTTAAAATCAATCAAGTCTGCGTAAAACACAAATAAGAGTTCATTAAAATTCTCTGGCCAGGAGGAACCCAGGATCGCTACGTGACGATCAACATAGAAACCCTGAATCGATCGCTTATTGGCGAGGCGGCCTGCTCCCCCTTCGGCGTTGCACAACTCGTCCTGCCATTGGCTGTTCGTGACCTTGAGGCCGCTGGTGCCACCGGATATGATGGTCCTCAATGGACTGTGGAAGTGTAACTTAAGAGTTAGAGGGCTGGCCAAGTTGCAGCCATGACAACGAAACAGATGCGTGCCCTAGGGGAGGGAGGGGGTGTGTCCCACGTACAGCGAATAAGCTCCGCAAGTTCACCCGCGGCACAGTTTGATCGATATTTTTGCAGATGAAGTTGATCAGACATCGCGAGAAGGCAGTCCGTTACCTGAAGAAGAAAAACAGGATTCAAAGAGCTGTAAGGTCCAGAAAAGTTTGCGCTAGTATGGAAAGAGTGCAAGGATTGAGTATATGCGCGGGGGGAAGAAGTGTTAACTGTTGTTTAACAAATTCATCAAGGTTTAACACTCCCCACTTACTGGCAGACGTGTGCGTTCTATCTAACAAACTTTCGGACCTTTTTTTCACTACCGGACTGCTCTTAGGGCCGAACTTTTTTTAAAATGATCTCTCCCCTTACCGAAGAATTACATGTTGGGGGTGTAGAACAATGAACCAGTGAAGGCCTTCCGGCAGTAACGGCTCCTCGTGGCGGTACAGGTCAGCGAACGTCATCCTACCGACGAAAGGCCGACCAAAACGCTGTCGAGCAAAACCTACTTTTAAAAATATTGCAGGCAATGCTCCACAGTTTTCCCTGACCCCACGCATACACTTAACCCTTATCGAAATCGTCTTCTGGAACTGCCGGGACTGACTTGGTGCTTTTTTCTACGGCACCAGCACTGTGACAAGGATTATGCCCCTGTGTTAGGCAAATTCATCATGGGAGTCGAGCCCTCCTCCATCAATCCCAGCCGTCGAAAGAAACCAAGTATAGAGAAATGTGTCTATGTCCCCCCCCCTCCCAGCTGCTACAGACAAGCCGGCCGGCCGGGGGGGAGTTTTCCTTTACCCCGTCATGTACTTAACCCAAATAAAGGAGTCTGCCGCGCAGCTCTGCGATGTCTTTTAGTGGAAAACCATTTCCGTCATGTGAGCCATTCACACCAAGGTAAAAACCACGCTGTACATATGTGCTCTGTTGTGTTTTAGTAGGTGAGCGGTAGGTTAAATGTCCTGCGGTCGGCCACGTTTGTGTAAAAAACCTGGTGTTTTGTATGGAGGACCAGGTCGTGTGGGACACGGGTGTGTCGCCCAAACGGGCCACGTGGTAGATGCGCTGGACCAGCACGGGGATCATTTTGAACTATGGCAGGAGTTACCATAACAAATGCCAACATTTCGGGTTGCGGTGGCGGACCCGGTTTCTGGAGTACGTCAAGCACACCGCCTCCTCATTTTTGTTGTGAATCAAAAAGCTGGTTATTTGTTGTGCGGAACTGGGGAGGGCGGATGAAGTGGAACGCCAGGGTGCGGACTCGACCGCGCCTACCATCGCCTTCGGTCTTCTTGACTCTGTCTTGACACCGGATCCAGGTGGGGAGTAGGAGGGAAGAATGCGGTAGATGCTGTGCAAGTCTACATTCACATGCAATTCACCGTGCCTGTCCTCACCCTGCTGTGGAGCGCACAGTGAACGGTAACAATCGGGAGATGGCACCCAAAAAAAATCCGCCTAACCAAAGCAGCCTGTCTTACGGGACAGGGGGTAATAGGGGTTTTATGGGTGATGGCTGGTCGGGATGCACGATACTAGCCGACGGAAAGCTTTATTTGAACAGATGAATGATCGAAGTTGGCCCGCTCTCCGTTCCGTTATTACAAAATGTGTCGCCAAAGGCAGTATCGTGGTAACGAACGAGTGGAAGGCGTATAATCGTCTTCCCTCAGAAGGTTATCTACATTTCTCTGTTAACCACTCAAAGAACTTCAAGGACCCTACCACCGGACGGCACACCAATGCTATTGAGGCATACTGGAGTAGACTGAAAAGGAAACTCCACGATGGAGGCCCTGTATGTGGTCGAACTGTGTGGGCTGACATAGACGAAGTACAGTATCGTCTTTGGTTTGGCCTCAATGCCGTGTCTTTGACAGATGCCTGGGAACTGTTCTTGTCCCATGTTGTGCAGACTTATCCTATTTAAAAGGGATTTTGTTTTGTAATAAACTGCCATAATGCGAATGTATGCCGTATATTCTGGTGTACGTGTGTAACGATGGAGAATGTTGGGTAACAGCGACCATCGTCCATGTAACCTCCTGCGATGTTCGTTCAGCCAGCCCATGTCAGGCCGTCGGGGAAAGTATAAGTAATGCGTTAAAGTAGGCCTGCAACCGCTGATATATCCTGAAGGCGTTTGAGCCCACTGTTAAAGGTATCATTTCTAGGTCACGGATTTTTTTTTTGGTGCCATCTCCCGACTGTTACCCAGTGGACATCGTCGAAATCAACGGCCGAACTACCGTGTGTGATACGAGTAGACGGCTGCTTAGCTCTGCCAGCCACTTGCGTCCAATTGCAGCATCAGATGACAGACAGGCCAGAGAAAGGAGAGTCCGTCTACGGCTCTCAATGAACGCGAACTCCGTGATGGCTTCAGCCACATGAGCCAATCACATCAAGGAAAAACGCCAAGGTGTGATCTGTTGTGTTTCACTAGGTGAGCGGCAGGTTATGTGTTCTGCGGCCCGCAGGTTTGTGTGGAGGGCTAGGTCGTGTGTTGGACGCGCAGACGACTAATTAGCTCTGTCAGCCAATTGGGTCCAACTGCAGCATCAGACAGGCCAGAGAGAGAGGAGTGTCGACTCTGGGGCCACGACTCTGTCTACGGCCCTCGGAGCATATCACCCAGTATGGTTCGACCGTCGTTGTCGACGATGCCCACCTTGCAGAGCACCTAACGCACTTTCTCCTCCCATCCCCCACCTGGGCCCGGTGTCAAGACAGAGTCAAGAAGACCGGAGGCGGAGGAGGGCGCAGGTGGATGACACCGTCGAGTCTGCACCTTGGCGCCCAACTCCACACACCCTCGTCCACACAGCAAATGACCAAGACTTTACCTAAGAAGCAGAATCGACTTGTATGTATATCTCAAGCTAATTATTTGTTGCCAGTCAAACACACTCCGACACCTAGATACGGGGATCCTGCAGGGCTGCTGACAGTTGGCAAGCAGATGCAGGCAGGCGTCAGCGTCCCACTCCCCAGTCTCGGCGACGCCACTGAGGCCGGCGTCGATGGCCCACCCATCACTACCACGTCAAAGAGGCGTGTGACTATCACGTGATCAGGCGAGATGACGATCACTGACGCACATGAGAGTGTTCACTGACGTGCGGGTCAAAGATCATGCGGAGAGCATCGAGACTGGAACCGTACCCTCACGTACTCACGACTTCACCGATGCCCCTTGGTGGTGGCGAATTCGAATTTTGGATAGTCTCAAACACTGTGTCGCTCGTTAGTGAATGAAGCAAGAAGGGCGCTCCTCGACTTGGTAAGATGTGGTTATGAAGCCGCACCTGATGGACACGATAGTGTTGGGTTTAGGGCAAATATTTATCAACCACTCAAAGCACAATCGCGCATTCCTGATAGCTTTTCTTTCGTATACAACGACTTCACCTCGTCGCCTGTGCGTTTCCCGGCCCAGCTTGTATAACCCCTATTACCATCTGGACCCGGTGTCAAGATAGAGGTGAGAAGACCGGAGGCGGAGGAGGACGAAGGGGGATGGCACTGTCGAGCCCCCACCTTGGCGCTCCACTCCACACTCCCTGGTCCACACAGCAAATGACAGCAGGGGTCCCAGTGTGCGCAACGTCTGCCGGCAACCGGTTCTGTCACCGCAGCCCCCCCGAAATGTTGACATTTACTGTGATGCGCAAATCCGATGACGCCTGTCAGAGTCCGATATGGCCCCCGTGTTTGTCCAGCGCATCTACCAAGTGGCCCGTGTGGGGGCTGCTCCCCACTGTCAGCCATCTCACGCGCTCATAAACTATCACTGTTCTCTAAAGACAGTGCCTTGAAGGGCTGCCAACTAACAGGATAACTCGGTCGGATAGACAGACTGTAGTAGCGTCTTCTTACTATGGCCCATATGGCTTCCCCAACCAGGCGAGACCGAGCCGCCTTCCTTTCTTACCCCCTAGGAAAACCTGGTCCATAGCGTACGAAACAGACGTGTGTGGCACGCGTAGACAGCCTCTACGTCCTACCTTACCGCTTTTTTGACATCGGGTCCAGGGGGGGAGAGAGTGTGCGGTAGGTATGGTGCAAGTCCATTATCACTGTTAACGGACTTACGCACTAACAACTTTGCCTGCACTCGTCATGTTGCGGGGTACGCAATTGACATCATCATCACCATCATCATCATCATCATCATCATCATCATCATCATCATCATCATCATCATCATCATCATCATCATCATCATCATCATCATCATCATCATCATCATCATCATCATCATCATCATCATCATCATCATCATCATCCTCAAGGCTTTCTGTCATATTCGCGACAATTTATTCTGAACTTGGCTCTACATCATTCATGACTTGATAACTATTCTTTACGTGAAAGGACGTTCACATGCTTCGTTTCAGAGCTCCTCTTTCATTGGGTCGGTTTCTCTCAACTTTATGCGCCTGGAATCGGATCAGAATTTGGAATTTGGAAGTTTGTGAGACTAGGTGCAACAAAGCCTCCCCAGATGCCCTAAAAGGTAAACACTATAGTAAATAGCAATTATTTGCTTCGTCTGTGTTACCAGCGCTCAGACGTTTGGAGCAAGAGAGACAACTTCGACAATTCGGATGGCTTGCGTCTATCCTAGTGTGCAAGATTTTGACTGAGTGAACACCACAGTTCTATCGTCCCATCTGGATACTTCCTTATTGGACAGAAAAAAACACTGGCTACGAGAAGGATATTTACATGCAGCAAAATCTGTGATTAACCTCCCCCTGACTCTAATTTGAACCTACAAAAAACCCTGGGTAGAATTGAAATCAACAATGGTTAGTTCGATTTAGGCTTAATACCCATCAGTTGTTCGTATTTTTGGGCTCTTTTAAACCGCAAACAATTCTGAACCGGTCCTCTCTTTCGATGAGCAGATTTGTACCTTGTGGGTTTATCGCATTGCTAATCTCAACGTAATCTTAACTTTAGGAGTTCGCACCTGCTGTTAAGAGCTCTTGACACTTCCGCGGCATCGGCTGCTGCCTAGACTTTAATTGAAAGACATTTGGCACGAGCCCAGCTCCTAAGTGGTTTTTATGCTTGTTTTAATGCGCGCACAAAACCTCCCGAAGTCCCGCTTCTCTGAATTCCCAACTACCCTTAATCCAAGATGTCGCTGTCATATGTACTGAACTAGACATTTGTCGGGGCAACAGTCAGCTTTTTCAAGCAGAAAAGTGACTTTTGCCATGCTGGACACTAAGCGCACTAATCACGCCCTATTCTTTGTCTCGTATCCCGGCAACTGTTTACATGACAACGGGCGGGCAATAACCAGCGTCAGCTGTTAAATAGACTCCAGTTAAAAAGGGCAGAAATATCCTTGAAACAGGTGGAGTCCCGGTGATGCGCCCCTGGTAACAAGTGGCACGAACGCAAATGACTTGATTAGCATAGACCTGGGACTGTCATCGCCAGCAGAAGCGCTGTTCAACAGACCACGTCCTTACATTAATATGATGGTGTTGTCGGGATAGGAACTACAGCAGGCGGACTAACTCATAAAATGTCAAGCAGAATGCTAAAATGCGTTTTTGTTTCGAAAAGATTAATCAAGTAGAGTTGGAGAACTAATCATCAAGTAGCATAATTCTGTAATAATTCGGTTACTGCAGGGTGCCGGCTTTAAAGCGAACTTCTTTCCGGCGCATGCTAAAGCTATTCTCTGTAAAAAATGTCCGTTTAAATAGCATGCAGTTTTCTCATTCATTTTCGGTGCCCCTAAAAATTCAATTATGTTTCATGGAAAACGTGCGTAAAAATATTCATTCCTTTATTTATTCGGTAGGAAATTACGTCTTCTTCTAATTTTATACTCAAATGAAGGGTATGATTCGGTTCTTAAAAACATTCCCAATTATCGAATAATTTTGGAGCAGACCTGCATTTACACTCGCATTCAGGATTTCTAAACTACAAGCCGTATACTTTCCGCGTACGGAAAACCATGCATTTCTCTACGGTATTTAAAGGAATCCATATGAAGTTCATAAAATCTAGCAGTGGATTTGAACCATATTGTTAACTTTACAAGCCACATTGTAACTGCGGAGACACAACGTTTTATGAACGGACATTGCACGGTATTGGAAAATGTCACAACTAGAAACTTGTTGAAAACCGAATTACACCCCTCCTTCGAGTATGTAATTGGAAGAAGATGCAATTTTCTACCAAATGCGTAAAGGGATGAATATTTTTATGCATGTTTCCCATGAAATATAATTGGACTTTTAGAGGCATCGAAAGTCAATGAGAAAAATGTATGCTAATTGAGTTGTCGTTTTTTCCAGAGTGCGGTTTTTGCATGCAGCGGGAAAGAAGTTCGTTCGAAAGCGGGCATTCTGAGGTAAATGAATTATTATAGAATTGTGCTGCACGGGGATTAACTTTCAAACCCCATGTAAGTCATCCTTTCGAAACGAAAACGCATTTCGGAATTTCAGTTGACATTTCATGAGTTAGCCCACCTACTGTATGCCCGCACAAAAACGCCAGTTCTCCGATTCTAATGAAATCTGGCTAGATTCAAGGGGCATCGTAGCCAGAAACACTGAGAGAACTAAGCGATCGAGCAGAGAAGCACGCTGAAGGCAGAGCCACGCTCGTGATTTTGACCAGTTTTCTTTGTTGGCATATCAAGAATTAAACCATCTTCGGGTCCGCCCCTGTTACTTAAGTCGCCAACCCATCCCCCAGTGATTCACAAATGAATAACTAGTCGAATTCGAGGCGAAAGCGTCCATCGTCACGAGAATGTGCGCTGCTCGAAAGCCAGCTTTCAGTTAAAATAGGCTTGTCAGGGCAAGCTGATTGGTTCGGGAATACACCCGTTTCTGTCACTATCTCTGATGATGACTTCCGGTGATAATCCGAAACGCCAGGCAGATAAAGCTCCTGTCTCAGCGATCGCCTCTTATCAACTAGTTTCAGCAACGCGCATCTTCGCTTGTATCAACAGCTGTCATGGCAGCCTGATTGGCTCAAGTGTTCACCGGTTTCGAAGATAATTTCAAGAGTAGGCACGCACCGAGGCAGAGGGTGGGCTTCGAAGAAGACGATAACCGTCAAGCTCGGTCTGCATTCTCTGTCTCTCCTGCCGTTCCGCCTCCAGCTGGCGCAGCACGTCCTTCAACTCCTCCGACAGTGCCAGTCCGCTGTTGAACTGGGCTTCAAATTGACGCTGCAGTTCACCCACCCGGTGGTCCAACTCACTACCGACCTGAAACCAAAAGGTGAACGCAGCTGAAACAGGGTCTATGCCGGCGGGGGGGGGGCGGGGAGGGACCAGTGTTCATAATCACGGAGGGAAGGAGGTGAGGGGGGGAGCAGTACCGGCGCACCTTGCGCAAGTTGCGCAGATCTGCAGTAAGTCGAGTTACGGCCTCCTTGACGCCGGACTCCGAGGCAGCACAGGGACTTTCGAGTGTACTCAAGGACGCAGCCAACGATTCCCTGAGAGAGAGAGAGAGAGACAGGCGTTAGAGGTGGACGGGGGGCGTCTGACAATTCCTGTCTCCCAGTATGTTACTGCCACTTGATGCATGACCTGTTTCTAACAGAGGCAATAGCGCTCTCTCACCCGTCAACCCGGTTTACATATGGTTGATGGTCAAGGGTATGATTTATGGCCGAGGTGGGCTAACTCACTCTGCTCGATCGCTTAGTCCTCGCAATGTTTCTGGCTATGATTTTCCCTGAATCCAGCCAGTTTTCATTAGAATCGAAGAACTTACCGTTTTGTGCGGGCATACAGTAGGTGGACTTACTCATTAAATGTCAAATGAAATTCCCAAATGCGTTTTCGTTCCGAGCAGATTAATTAAGTAGGGTTGTAAAACTAAACGGCCTGCAGTATTATTCTATAATAATTCAATTACCGCAGGATGCCGGCTTTCGAACGAACTTCCTTCCGGATGCAAGAGAAAATGATACTTTTTAACAAGTGACTACTGAAGTAGCATGCATTTTTCTCATCGATTTTCGATGCCTCAAAATGTCCTATTATATTTCATGGACAACATGCACAAGATATTCCTTCTTTCGCACATTCGGTAGAAAATTACGTATTCTTCGAATTTTATACTCGAATGAAGAACATAATTCGGTTTTAAAAAAGTTTCTAATGTTGAAACTTTTAAGACCGTGAAATGGCCGTTCATAAAACGTAATGTCTCTGTCTTTACCAATATGGCTTGTAAAGTTAACAATATGGATCGAATCCAGTGCTAAATTTTGTGTACCCCATATGGTCTCCTCTTAATAGTGTAGAGAAATGTGCGGCTTTCCGTACGAGGAAAATACATGGCTTGCAGTTTGGAAACCCTGAATGTAAAACTGGCGGCAATGCGGGTTCAAAATTATTCGGGAATTAGAAAAGTACTTAGAGATTGAATAATATAAAATGTTCTGCCGGATGAGCTGGAGAATGAATATTTTTATGCATGTTTTCCATGAAAAATAATTGCATATGTAAGGGCATCGAAAATCAATGAGACAAATACATACTAATTAAGTAGTCTTTTTTTGCGGAGTATACTTTTCGCATTGTGCCGAAAGGAAGTTCGGTCGAAAGCCGGCATCCTGCGGTAAGTGAGTTATTATATAATCATACTGCAGGTTGATTCGTTTTACAACCCTACTTAAGTACTCTTTTCGAAACAAAAACGCATTTGGGAATTTCAGTTGACATTTCATGAGTTAGTTCACCTACTGTACTTCGGGGAACGTTTATACTAAAAGAAAATACCTGCCAGAGGAAGAAGTGAAAAAGCCTCACGATGGGTGCTGCGTAAGCGTGGTCATGGCGCATTAAGGTAGTCATCGGATTAAAGGCACGACGATGCAATAGCTTTTTAACAATGCCTGCAAGAGGACATTAAATTCATTGACTATTAACCAATAAATGGTAAAAATATTGCTCCTTTTTACTTGGTGACAGTCTAGAGGGTATACATTTGTGATACCTCGAAGTTGCTAGATGTTCAGCTCTTTTGTTCAGCACAAGTAACCCCGGCCACAAGCCGGTCAAAGTTTTCTGCTTAGAAGACTACTACTCGTAAGGGACTTCCAGCGCACCTGCTAGCGCCTTTCAGCCCGGGCTGCGTTGAGGTAGACTCCCGTGACATGCCAGTTTGTCCACCGTTCAGTAACATTTTGTTAACTTTGAAACTTTACTGAACGTTAGACAAAGACCGGTAGCCAATCGGATTATTTCCGAGTACTAAGGCAAACGGCAATAATTTGTTAAGTGTTTAAGCTTTGCGCAAAGCAAGTGAATTCTCCAATTACTCTTACGATAAGAGCAGAGTCACCTGGATATGGTCTCTGTGAGGTTGAAATAGAGAATTTAGTAAGACTGTGTTTATAGCTAATTTTTGAATGACCCTTGGTTTGCAATCTTACAGGCAACTGCGCAAATCATGCCTAGGAAGAAACATTATTTGGATGCATTGGACTTTGCTACGTCGATTTACTCTGTTTGCCTCAAGTGACATATGCCCTGTCGAGGGAGTACGCACGAGTGATACTTATTTAAGATTAGTAGAGGGTGGGAAATTATATCCGGATGAAACGGGACTTTCAACTCCTAAAAAGTGTAAAGGACTTCCGCAGGAACTTTTTATGAATAGAGAACACCAAAGACGCCCTGGTAGACATTGATAAACAACACCTCAAGTGCAAGTATTTTTTCTTTTGCGGTCAGCAGTCCTCAGTAACTTGAGACATAGTCGCAAAACAATTAGTGCGTGACAGAGTGTCGGCTTTTATTTGAGGTCTGTCAGTCCCCTCACTCGAGCAAGAACGTCGATGAGCAGTGGTAACCCCGTGTTGATTTTCCATGAATGCAATCCTACTTCTTACAAAGGACATGCAATAGTCAACACCATTACGCACATTTTTAGGAAATCATGCGATCAGGACAGTGATTTTTTGAAGGAAGAATGTTTGCATGTGTGTGTATTTTGAAAATCCGTAAAAATATGAATTTTTTAAATTTATAATTAATTTCTCCAGAGCTCTTTTAGGACGTACTCATGCTGACGAAATGTGGACGCGCCTTAATTTGCATAGATCACCACAAGGTTAATTCATAGTGATCTGAAGAGAACTACCATATTTTTCATAGACAGTACATACATATCATTTTGGGAATCTTAGCAGAAAAGAAAAATAGAAATAGTCCAAGCTACCGCGCTTCAAATAATGCCAACTTATATACCCCTATTACACTACGCTAAACTCGTTTGGGCATGTTTTTCCATCTGAAGACATATTTAAGGATTTGACAATTCTGCATAACTCCACTCTCCTGGTTCGGTAGATCTTTAAGAGAAATAGGGTAGCGGTAGGTTGTTTAACCTTACCTCTCGACCAAACTTAACCGCTTTATTATTTTTTATGAGAGGAACTATGAACAAGTATTCCTAAAAAAATAAATTTGCAAGGCGTACGCGTTTGGCAACAGAAACCGTTCAGAGATGTCGAGGAAGAAGAGTGTTTGCGTTTTAACCGAGGCAAAGTGAACCAAGACGCAGCCGGTGATCCTTGCAGTATGCATAGTACGGTGAAAACCGACGTGGCACAACAAGGTTTAACTACTCTTCTAGGAGAAATAAGTAGGCCACGGCGTAAGGAATCGGTAAAGAAAGGCAATACAAGTACAATGGGGTAACTAGGAAACCAAGGTGAGACAAAGGGATTACGAGAAGAATCGAAGGTAACAATCGGGAGATGGCACCCAAAAAATCCGAGACCTAGAATATACGGCATACATTCGCATTATGGCAGTTTATTACAAAACAAAATCGCTTTTAAATAGGATAAGTCTGCACAACATGGGACAGGAACAGTTCCCAGGCATTTGTCAAAGACATGGCATTGAGGCCAAACCAAAGACGATACTGTACTTTGTCTATGCGAGCCCACACAGCTCGACCGCATGCAGGGCCTACCTCGTGGAGTTTCCTTTTCGGTCTACTCCAGTATGCCTCAATGGCATTGGTGTGCCGTCCGGTGGTAGGGTCCTTTAAGTTCTTTGAGTCGTTAACATAGAAATGCAGATAACCTTCTGAGGGAAGACGATTATACGTCTTCCACTCGTCCGTTAACACTATACTGCCTTTGGCGACACATTTTGTAATTACGGAACGGAGAGCGGGCCAACTTCGATCATTCACCTGTTCAAATAAGGCTTTCTGTCGGCTGGTATCGTGCATCCCGACCAGTCACCACCCATAAAACCCCTATTACCACCTGTCCCGTAAGACAGGCTGCTTTGGTTAGGCGGATTTTTTTGGGTGCCATCTCCCGATTGTTACCGAATCGGAAACATAATGTCAAATAATTTGTCACTAAGAGGTCATACCCAAATAACTCGGTGCATGCGGTTCTATCAGGGTGTTGGATAACACAAAAGGAGACTTCTTGGAGCTATGAATTAATACAAAAACAATGCCTTCTATAACAAACATAGTAGTCACCTAGTGGGGTTACACAACCTATCCTTACGGGGAATAATATGTTGAGCTAGATGTGAATTCCTCCAAGCGTGTATATTACGTTCATTTCCACAGACTGGAATTACTCAGACCAACTTCTACGATATCCAAAAGTGGGAAGTGACCAGAACTATCTAATTTGAACAGCTAATACTTGTGAACGGCCAGTCCGTGGATACAAAATATAGAAGCAGTGAGACAGAGAGATCTTATTTGACCATCCAATCAGCAAAACTCCCCATTAACAGCTGGGGCCAGGTTCAAACCTGGTCCGCAGACACATGGAAATACATATGCAAGGTGGTCGGGAATCCAGTTGAACAGAAGTCTTATCAAAGCCAGGATCTGTCTCGGGCGTCACATTTCTAATCAAGATGGGAGGTTCATTTATTCTCCCTTAAGTAACCTCGGGTGTTTCGCACTTGGAGGTTGGGTATGACTGGCTGACGACGGCTAATAAACCAGAAGTGGCCATTCCAGTCTCCCTTGTCTTTGTCGGTAATAACATTCTGCATATATCATGCGCCGTTTTTCGGCTGCTGGTTGGGCTCGAGAGAGAGCCCTTAAGGCAAAACGGAACGAGTGAGTTCCGTAAGAAGGAACGGCGAGCGCCTCCTACCATTGTATATTCCGGATCGAAACCGACAGGGCAACGGGCTCGTGGCTCAGTGGTTAGAGGCGTGGACTTCTAACTAACAGGTCGCGGGTTTGAGCCTCGGGTGTTCCACACTTCGGGGCCGGGTATAACCGACTGACGACGGCTAATAAGCCAGAAACGGCCATTCCAGTCTCCCTTGTCTTTGTCGGTAATGCCATTCTGCCTTCATCTGTAGTCTCATTCTGCTCCAATGGGGATGGTCACTGCCACTTTGCCGCAAGTGTTCTGTTTAATCTCAAAATGGATCGCCTCTTCGACCTTACGTACAGCAAAGAGGTATACTGAACTGCCTGGTTCCGCCGCTCGAAGACGCTCTCCTCCCGTGCAGACTGAGCCCTCTGTGCCTTGTCGGAGGCTTCCGTCAGCTGGAGACGCATCTCACTGATCTGCCTCTCCTGTGCATCTACTCGCTGTCTGAGCAGTCCACCAGCAGCCCCGAGCTCAGCCTTCTCGGCCTCCAGGAGGGAGATTTGCTTTGAGAACAAGTGGAAGGCAGGAAAAGTGAAAAATACTGACATATATATCATGGTGATAATTCCAGAAATCACCAAGTACAGGACATGCAGTTACGTGTCCGGGGGCATGACTTTTTAGGGTCAGACCAAAAATGTCATATATATATATATATGGTAGAAGAACGCTCACCAATCATGTTACGAAACTCACTCGTCCCGTTGTGCTTTGGGACTCTCTCTCTCGGGTCCAACCAGCAGCTGCATATCGGCGCGTAATATAGATAAAATATGATAACGACAAAGACCGAGGGGACTGGAAGGGCTATTTCTGACTAATTGGCCTACAGGACAACGAGTACGTGGTTCAGTGGTAAGGGGCAGAGAATGCGATTAGATTGATACAGTACTGTTTCGGGCTTATTTTGCCTTCACTCAGTCAATCATAACCCTGACCAGCAGATGGGACCAGAATCAAAAACATGTGCACAGACGCACCTGGCGCAGTTGGTCTACCATTGGGGTTTGCAAGATGGATAATTAGCACTTGATCGAATCAAAGTTCATCAGTGCCTCGCCACCTGTCATTCTCTGTCGATGTAGATCGGACATTTATTCAGTCAGGAATGGGCGCGTACCGATCTGTTGTCTTCCCCAAGCAAACTTGACCGAATTCTACATGGTACTTGGTTGTCCTTTCGTGAACTTTGCCACCCATACGAAGCCTGTTTGCTTCGGGAAGCCAGTAGATCGGTGTGCGTTCTTTTCTCGCTGACTGTATATTATATATATCTATATATTGACTGGTTGAGGTAGTGTGCATTCCGAGATAATATGATGAAGATAGAAGGCTCGTCGGAAAAAGTCGATTTGTACTCGTGAATTTTCGAGCTAGTGACACCAACCCGTCGGGACAGAAAACCTTGGCCAATCGAAACACTTACGGCTTCCTCTGGCAAAACTGAACAATGCGCGACATCGCTGGCCTTAAAGGGGGGGGGGGGAAACTCCGCTTTGAATAGTCATGACTACTTACTGCCTATATGTTTGCAGTCTCTTCAAAATTAAATTCGTAAAACAAGTCTTTTTTCCTACCTTTTTCAAGTCTTCTTTTTCTTGGATGAGGGCCTCAACGCGCGTGGCCAGATCAGATGCGGAGCACCTTGCCTCAGCTAGCTGGGCCTTTGTATCTCGCATTGCCGCGTTCGATTCGTTAAAGCGAACCTCTCGAAGAGCTAGCTTGTCCAATCTTTCCTTTATCTAAAACACCGGGAATTCAAATGTGGAAATAGTCAAAAGATAAAATGGAATACTAAAATTTTTTGATTATATGTATATGTATACGTAAGTATATATATATAATGGTAGGGGCGCTCACCGATCGTTCATACGGAACTCACTCGTTCCGTTGTGCCTTAAGGGCTCTCTCTCGAGCCCAACCAGCAGCCGCACAGCAGCGCATGATATATAGGCTCGAGAGAGAGCCCTTAAGGCACAACGGAACGAGTGAGTTCCGTATGAACGATCGGTGAGCGCCCCTACCATTGTATATTCCCGATCGAAAACCGACAAGGCAACGGGCTCGTGGCCCGGTGAGTAGAGGCGTTGACTTCTAAACCAACAGGTCGCGAGTTCGAGGCTCGAGTGTTCCACACTTCGGGCTTGGGTATGGCTGGCTGACGACGGCTAATAAGCCAGAAATGGCCATTTTTAGTCTCCCTTGTCTTTGTCGGTAATGCCATTCTGCCTATATATATATGTATGTTTACACAAGTGCGAGAAAGATAGAGACACGATTGGTGTCCTCGAGTGCGCCGCTATTTCTTATGTCAAGCTACCTGCAATACGGACAATTACTTGTAGTCAGTCTAAGTTGTCAGACATTTCGAACGCCTTCGCATCAATCGATATAAAGCTAATCATAGGGTTAATTGACAATATTCAATCATTAATTACGTGAAACAAAGCATTTCAAGTAACCTCCGAGAATAAAAAGTCAAGGTCAGTCTTCGCAAGTTCTGGAAGACCAAGGCGCGTCGCTAGGTCTGCAGCGTATCTTCTCATTTTCTCCACGATCTCAGGTTCCCTTTGTGGCGACTCGTTGAGTTTATCCTTCATGCCCCTAAAACATTATGTGAAAATTATATCCTTTTTTAGAAAAGTCGTTAAAAACATCTAAACCATGTAGCACAGCAAAGAACTGGGTGAGTCATTCGCCTTTATATAAGGCCACTCTGCCATGTACTCATAATCTTAGAATGCAGGCTAAAAGTGAGCAAAAACGGTTAAAATGGCAGTTTTGCTCATAATTAACGCTGCTTTTCGTGCGGTATACCTTCCGTGTGCACGTTATTTAGAAATGGAACGAACAAAATATTAGCAGTTTCAGAAAAATATAAGCACATGTATGGCCGCTCTGCCATGCATTTATAACCACAAAACGCGGCCCTTAAATTGGGCAGAGGTATCGAAAATAGATGCAATATATAGAGTTGAAAAATACTAGCATGTTTTAGCAACGTGAAAGAAATGAACAAGTATCAAATATTTGCTTGGCCTCACCTTGTAGAAATTTAAAGCACACAGAAATTTTTCAACGAAATGGGATGTAAAGGCACTTCTTAAAATGTGAATTGTTAAAGAACGTCTTGTCGTTGATGGAAGGCACTTTCGTAGTTAACTTTTGTTGTGGACGTTTGTTTTACTCGGCAATGAGGTTTGCTGTTTAGGTGGATCTTCAGATGTGACGTAAACGACCTTCTACATGACAGAAAATGCTAAATCAATCAATACTACGTCCTTGTGAAAACGTTTGTTCCTATGACGCCTCTATTGGGTAAGCCAAGCAAACTCCTTTTATATTAGCAATTCTCATTGCAATTTATGCAGAAGTGGAAGATATAACAAGTTCTCGGGAAACCGTTTTTAAATATATACTCAGCATCCAGGCTGTTGACAAACTGCCATACCTGGAATTTGACTGATTTTTAAAGAATATTTAGATGTAAACTTCACTAAGTGATTATTTTCGGAGGCCATTCTATTTATGCTGCCACAGGTACTCACTGCTTTGCATGGCCAGACTGCAGTTTACACGACTACAACCACTTTTAACGTTTTTGGAGTTTTTCGATTTTTTAGTAGATTACTATATCTAGACGACGTGATAGTTGTTCTATGTTTTCAATTCCCGTAAAGTTTTACTTTATTAATAAAGATATAAAGCACATGCGTTGGTGTCGGTTTGCAAATGGTTGACATCATTCGTAAATTTCGATAACTTTCATCAGATAGCCAGCCTAGTGTATATTGATAATAATTGAACCGATGATAGTAATGGGCCGTTGATCGCAATGTAGAGGTATAATTAAAGTATCAAAATTAAAACACGAACAAATGACCGTAAATTGTTACAATGTTGATTAGCTGATTTCCTATCAACCTATGTTGCGTACCTAACTTGCGCTTCTAGGTGAGCCACATTGCGCAAGGCTTCACGATTCGAGCTCTGAAGTCCAGCAATAGCTGCCGCGCTGCGCTCTTTGAGGCCTTCATAGATGTCAATGTCCCCCCGGAGAGACTCAATTGTACGCTTCAGTTCAGCATTCTCGCTCTTCGATTCCTCGAGGGCTTTCTCCGTCAGACTTAGTTGACACTGGGCCATCCTTGCCTCCTCTCTGTATTTCTGGGCATCGCACTGAAGCTGCATATACTATAAAAAGGAGAAGTTAAAAGTTCTTTAAATAATGAAAGTAGTGGATGTTATATTTGCTAAATGGTTTTGTTTTACAGACCAGCGATGCTATTTATACTTATTTATTTTCTCGTCTATGTAGTTCCTTCACAAACCATGGAAAAGGGACCTCTAAAAATTGGTACCAAGACCTGCCTTCTTTTAAGAAGATCTCTTGATAGCATGTCGCCCCAAAATTGTGCCACTTTTAGCATTTACAAGACCGCTTGTGAAACACGGTTAATTTTATAACTTTTCGATTAACATTGCAAGATTGCAACTCGATTTCTGGTCAATGAGACTTTCTTTTGTTCAGAAAATTCAAACTACTTTCTGCTTGGGAACGTGATGCAAAAATTGCCTTAACATTCGTTCCGAATGAACAATTTGAAAAGATAGTTTGGTGTAGGCTAGTGGTGCTAGTTTAGTTGGATCTATCTTAGCGCTGGACAGCCGTTACAGAGTGCCTTTTATGTGCAGATAAGCGGTTTATACTAAACTATATAATGAGCAAACCATTACATTAGAAATCACTATCGGCGTTTGCTGTAAGATTTGAGTGTTGACGCCATCAGCTTGCGTTTACAGTGCAAACGGATTCCTAGCCGAGCCAAGCTAGTATGGTTGTGGGGCCATTCGCGTTAGTCATTTTCGACAATAAGAGATACAGTGGATTATCCACATATTCTTTTCATCAGTTTTGCACTAGGCCCTTGTCCAGACAAGAAACTATTTGTTAAATTCAAAACAAATCACAAAAAACCATAAAATGCCAACGAAAGCTTCTTACCTCCTTATTGATAGCGGCTAATTGTATTGTGGATTGCAATTTTGCCACGATAGTGGCGAGGAGTGCAAATGACCTTTCGCTCGGGTAAGAAGGGTTTTATTTTTGCGTATATTTAGGCGTAACTCATACCTTCTTCCAACGTACCAACGTTAACCCGAGCTTATAAGTGTTTCGTACACTCCAAACCCGAATTACAGGGAAAAAGGACGTCAGGAAAACGGGACAAAAAGTAGTACTTCTTACTCATGAACTATATGGTTCATAATAAGGAGCTCAAAACGAACACGAAAATTTACCGAAGAGACGGGTTCTAACATAAACTGCACTTATGTCAGCAGGATGCAAACAAAATGTTTCAAACGTGCCAGACGAACTATACAAAATTTTCCCCGTTAGTATGTGGACCAGGGCCATTTTAGCGTCATTGCACACTTTCTGCCTTCACATTATTCCTGATGCCCCAGTCTAAAAATTGCACTGGGGCACCTGGAATAATATATATTATATGTAGGATCAGTCTTTGTAGAGACTGGTCTTACAAATCGGCAGCTGTAATTCTGCATGAACTGGTCGAACCTTCTTGTATACTTACTGTTATAAAACTGAACTGACCAAAACAAAGTGATTGAAACCACGCTCAACACCCAAAGGCGGGAACTTTTGTGTCACTTCAGATTTTATTATATTTCTTTCAGTTAAAATAAATTTTACTTGAAAGAATTATGATTAAATCCGAAGCAACACAATATTGTCTCTACAAAAGTATATATACCTTTGCACCGGAACTCTATATAATTGTGTTGTCTCTGTATATTTTTAGAAAAGAAGTAAAACGCCGTTCCACAGGTATCATTTAGAGGTGTATTATGCTTTTGCCCTTAAAAACCCATAAATTTTCCTAAAGGAACTTACTGGAATAATTATTCTACCCATGAATTCGGAATCGGTCGAGATTTAATAATTGTTTAATAATTCACCATTACTCTTTTAATGACAATGGTAAACTGACCCGTTCTTCTAATGCGTTTAATTTGCATTGTGTTTCGGCTAGGGATTTTAACGAGTTATCCCTCAAATTCATTTATGCCGCCAAAACGTTCGTTTGCTATTGGCAAACTCAGCGTTTAAGGTCGCACTCAGTCACCGCAAGAATATAATACTCGTGTCACTCACTTGTCCTGTCCCCTTTACTGCAGTGATCCCTGCGGCTGTTATTCCTTCAAGTGTTGTCTTGGAATCAGTACCGAGCGTCAACTCTGAATTGCACAGATTGTCAGCGTCACTCATCCTTCAATCAGAAACTCAAGTTAGTGCGAAACTCAGTAGAAGAACTGTCTGGACACAAGAGATTTATATAATGAGATAGGGTATATGAGGACGGGGAGCGTATAGTCTCAATAAAGATAGGGATAACGGTGGTCAAAAGGAATTATTGACCAATTCACTGCTGTAGTTCTGGGGTAGGTACTACATCCACTGGAGTCATCTTCTCAATTCTGTTTGGATCCTCGTTCTGGTCTGTAAGGTAAAGAAGAAAAATGCTCGACGGAAGCACAGCATCACAAATAGCCGTTTCGTCTTTTTTGACTTCCCACCAACTTCGCCCCTGCCTGCCACTACAAGAATTACTTTGAAATCCAAAGACCTCTTCACTCTATGGTGACTCTCCGAAAAAAGACTACGTTCTTAGATCCCACGCTCACCTTCGTAGAAGTCAATAGAAGGCTGTGATGGGGACTAGGGAAGGTTGGCCATGAGGGAGCAATTAACTGCGGCCGATGACCATGGCATAATCGCAAAAGATATGAAGGACAGAATATCCCGAATTTCGTATGATTATTGACCTTCGGGCCCGGTCGGGCAGTCGTACGAAGGGTGAGGGACCACCCCAAATAATTTATGTTATTGGCATGCATAAGACAAACGTACCAATGCCTGCAGGCATTCTTAGCTTGACACAATGGTGTCAATGTAAGAATGTAAAGTAAATAAGCAGTGATAGAACGGGAAAGTGCAACACCATAAAACACTTCAGGTTTACTAAAAAGGTAAACCGATGCGAAAGGCGTAATGAATGGGATTGGTGGGTGGAAAAAGCAGTAAAGGAGATGGCCACATATCAGGGATCAAATCAGCTAAAATAAGGTGAAATAGCTTAACAAAAGGATAAGGGAGTCAAACACTATCAGGATAACAAGAGAAACATTAACCAGCTAACAAACGCATTAACCAATAGCTAAACCGCAATTTGGGTGATGGAATGATCGGGGAAAAGTTAAAAAGTATTTTTAATAGATAGACGTCCATGATGCACCGATATGCGCAAATTTATATGCAGGACTGGAGAATGATCAGTAATAAATTTTGTCTTACTTCCCGGCGCCCAGGGAACATTATGAGTAAAATACCTCTGACGCAAATGAGAAAATATAGGCAATACAGACAGGGATGCTCTGTGTAGGCGGCCAGATATACAACAGAATTTAGAAATTGTGTTGCTGTTATTAGAATAGAATAGGTTTATTATAACGCCCCTTGGGCACTGTCAGTCTCCCTTGAACACACAAGTAGCCTTCTCGCGTACGGCACTTACGGTAATAATATCTACAAATTCTTCTTTGACGGTTTTTAAGAAAAAATTGTGCGCCCAGACGGAGCACTAAAGAACTCCTGATGTTGGGGGTGAGAGGGGAGTTCCGGGCATTCGTAGGATGAAGACTGATTTGCGAAGTGTTATGGAGAAGCAGTGTGTGTTCATCCGGCGGATAAAGGGGAAAAGAATGGCAAATCAGCAATTTGGCATGGACCGTGATTATACTCTGCACGAATATGCTAGATTGTGGCAAATCTAAGGTGGTAACGACGAAAGGGGGTGAAAACTGAGGTGTCAGTGGTTAGAACGGAATTCTGATATGGATGAACAGCCACCGAATCGAAGTCGGTTTACAACGTGTGCGTCAGCAACACCCCCTTGTTCGTCTGGAAGGTGTGTTTGGCAGGACACCAGGTTTCTTGGAGGATACGGTGTATGGACTGAGGAAGTTGGCTTACTTGGCGAGAGATCGTGATGGGCGAAATCACAGGCGGAGGGCAGAATACGAGCGGATGAGGTGATTGAAGGACGGTCTCCTAAACTTCCAATGGCCCACACTCGAAGTCATGAGAAAGCCGGCCAAAAAGAACGAGCAAAATGGAGGGCTACTCGAGTCCATTCATCAGTAAATACCGGAGCATCACAATCCAGTATTCAGTATATTTGAGAGAAATAGGCCTACACCTTCAAACTCCCCATTTGTACATAAAAATCCAAATATTTGGCAACTACATAAAGAACTTCCAACAAAAAGTGAATGCAGACATCGAGTCACATAGGGCACTAGTTTTTATGGTTAAGAAGTCACACAGTCCGCCTGTTGCTGTAGATGATGTCTGTCAAGCCGACATTTAAAAGCCTCTGCAGACCGAAACAGTACATTTGCCTCAGTCAGGGTATTCCACGGTTCCACGCCAAGTTTGGGAAAAACTACTTTCTCGCATCCAGTCTTCCTTTAGAAACTTGTAGTTTGAAGGGATTTTCCTCGAGGTTATTTGTAGTGATGAGTTGGAAAAAGTCGTCACACCGGAAGACGCATTCCAAGTCACGCACGATACGGAAAGTTTGATTAAAGTCTTCCTGCAACTGCCTATAACTCGTAGCATAGAAATTAAGGTTATTCAGGCGGGTCTCGTAAGACTGTGTACTTTGAACTCCTATCAATTTTGTGGCACGCCTTTGCACCCTTTCGAGGAAATTAAAATCGTGCCGTGTCCATGGTCTCCGAGACGAGGTTGCATATTTGAGCGGCGGCCTTGGAAACGTACCAAAGACTTTGGAGAAGCATTCTCCATTGAAGACTGTGAATGCCCGTCTGATGGCGTACCGTATTGAACTTGTGGCCTTAGCTGCCTTGCGACAGTGCGTAGAAGGCTTCCGAGTGATTAAAATGCAGATTCCGAGATCTTTCCGAGTTTCTGTTTCTAGGGGCGGCATCCCGTTAAGATAACACTGCCGCGTATTATGGATCTGATTTCGATTCCCAAGACGCAGTATTGCGCATTTGTTCAAATCAAAGGAGAGGAGCCATCTGCAGGACCACTCGTATAATCGACAAAGATTTTCTTGGAAGTCGGTCTCGTCGTCAGCATCGTGGATTAGCTTCCAGGTTTTAATATCATCTATGAACATGACACAATCACAGACCAAATCCTCCACACAATCATTATTAAACAAGTGAAAGGAAGTCGGTCTGAGCACTGAGCCAGAGGAAGAAATAAGAAGATCTCGCGGTGAGTATTACGTCGGGGATGGTCGAGATGGTCTAAAGTAGCAAGCTGGTCGAAAGTGCGATTGGATAAAGGCCTAAACAGTAAAAATGGTCCTTTTGGTAGTCAGTGAAACCACAATAGGTCAACGTCTGCAACTCCGGATCGCTATTGGTACGTCAAGTATCGGCGTTCCGGCGTAAAAACTCTTTTGCTGGAAAGATGCTGGACGGATTATATTTTCTCCCGTTCAGCAGCATGCATGAGGCAAAATAAAAACGAACACTATTCCAGGCCAGGTCTAACGTACACTTTGTAAAGGCTCATTTTTATCTCGTTAATTTTAAAATTTCGTGGAATAAAGTCGGTTGTTCTACGTGCTTTGGAGACTCTCAGGGCGCAGTGTTCCGTATGTATATGCATATGTATATATTGAAGGGTTACAGGCAGAGCCCTTGATGACCCTATTTATGTACAGTGCTTTCGCAGATTCATACTCAAAAATAAAATAAAATTGCAGGCATTTAAAATGTGATTGGGTCACAGTTCAATCGTAATCATAAGGTAGTGCATGGGGTCACTGCAAATTTGTGCGGAAGATTGTATATGACAGATTTTACAAAACTGGTTGTGCATAGTCATGCTGTACAATCCGATTTCTGTCGAAAACTAGACGAGCAAGTTTTCTTTTAAACACACAAACTGTGTCAGCCGTCACCATCTCGCTTGGAAGCGAGTTCCACGGCCTGACAACCCGCTGGCTGAATGAAAATTTTCGTCGATCTAAACGCGTGCGCTCATTCCCGACTTTGTATGCATGGCCGCGTAGTTGGTTTGTACGGGCGAACTCAAAGAAGTCCTCTGCCCTTAATGAGCAACCCTGGCCGCGAACAATCCGGAACGTCCAGAGTAGACTGCAGTTTATTTGTCTATAAGAGAGAGGGAATAGGCCAAGCAAATTCAGCCTCTCCTGATAAGACAAATACTTCAGAATGTCGACCATCTTTGTCGCTCTGCGTTGCACCTGTTCAAGTAAGTTGATATCCTTCCTCATTCATGGTGAAGCTGCTGGCATTCCGTACTCTAGATGAGGTCTTACAAAGACATCAAAGAGTCTTTCGAAGAGTTCGGGAGGAAATATTTTAAATGCACGTCTGATCCAGTGTAGAGTACTAGTTGCCTTCTGGACCATCTTTCTGCAGTGTTCTGATGGCGATAGATTTGTGGTCGTCCATACACCCAGATCTCTGTGTCTTTCCACAGTTTCTAACCTCGTCCCGCTAATATAGTACTGGTGATTGGGAGAGACATTGCGGCCGGTGTTCAGGTGCAAAACCACGCATGTGGACACGCTAAACTTCAAAAGCCATCTGTTCGACCTAGCACACAGTTTGTTGATGTTCAACTGCAACTTCTCTACGTCATCATCACACTTGACTTCAGTCCATATTTTTATGTCATCCGCGAACATGAGAGCCTCGCAATTCACTTCGCTGATGCAGTCATTAACATCAATCAGGAAGGGTACTGGGCCTAAGACAGAACCCTGTGGGACACCACTTTCCACCTTTACCCATTTCGAGTTAGAATTACTAACTACAACTCTTTGTAGTCTGGAGGACAGAAAACTCCTGATCCACTTAAACATTCTCCCTTGAATCCTTACATCCAAATCTTTTGTAAAAGAAGCCTGTGTGGGACACTGTCAAAGGCCTTCTGGAAGTCAAAAATATGACATCTACTGGAAAACCCTTATCGGTAGCTCGTGTCCATTTCTCG